CATAAGGTCTTAGCTTCAGGAAGTTGTTAAATTTAAGGTCAGGGAGTAATTCCAAAGCATTTTAATAAATAAAGTACATATCCCTTAGCCGATAATATTTTCTTTTCAGTTCCTGCATGCTAAGATGAAATTTGTAGGCTTTTGTCTAGGCAAAATGCAGTATAGGATCCATGTGGGGTGTGAGTATATATATTTGTGAAAAATGTGCAGTATCTGTTGCATGATATATTGTGTGTATATATATCAGGCATGAGATTGATGGGGTTTTGATAACACTTATATAAAATGGAACACTCATTGCTGGTCCTGCGAAAGATTATTTAATGGCTTTTGCTAGCAAGTAAAAAACTGCTGTATATTCTGTTTTATAAAAATTACAATGTGTGTTTTAAACTATTTATTATGGAAAACTAAATGTACAAGAGTGGAGAAGCAATAATGAACTCCTATGTACGCACTGTGCAACTTCAGCAGTTGTCCTTCATTATTCATGTTAGTAAATCTTGTTTCATCTTATTCTGCCTGCCTTATGAATCCTGCTCCCCTTGCCCCCCTACTCCCACCCCAGGATGATATAGACAAGTTTGTGTTACATACTTCCACTAGGAGGCTTATAATGTTTGATTGCTGTTTTGTAATACTTTGAATATTTATGGCAGTTTTTGGTTTCTCTTCATTTTCTTCTCAGTTTATAAAAGGTTTTCTTACACAATTAGTAGTATAAAATGTCAAATTGTTTATATAGCCATTTTGTAGTAATTAACACATCGTAGAGATGCAATTTTCTTGAAAGAAGTAAAAGTCTTATATTTTTAAGTGAAAAATCTTCAGTGTTTTTTGAAAAATGTCTTTAAAAAATTAAAATCACACCACTTAATTAATACTTTAGAACACTGTACAATTGTATTACAATTAATTTTGTAAGTAATATTTTTAATTCAGTTGATTTGCTATTTAGGAATTTTTTAAAAATGTGTTTTCTAAAACAGATTTTTAGTGAACATGGACTTCTGATTTTAAGAAACTATATAGTACGTTGAAGAAAAGAGTGCAATACTTACATATAATTTATAGTGTAAATTATAATTTTAAAAGCAAGAAGAACAAAAGTGTTTCTTGAAGGAAATTGCTACATATAGTTTGGCTTATATTTTTCTTTTCATACTGTATTTTTATTATTTTATTATTAACTATGGAATATCTATTTTAGAACCATATTCTTACTACTTACTTTTCATTAATGAAAACATTTAGTAAGAATGACTCTTAAGAAATTACATGAGCTTTTGCAGTTCTTCAGATAAAGGAGATTGATAGCTGTGACTTCCTAGAATTTGAAAAAGAAATTAGAGCTGTAAGCCTAATGTTTATTTTACTGTTTAAAGATTTTGTGTAATTGTATTTTGCAGCCTAGAAGTCGTCTTTAACCTCCCAATTTAAAAAAGCAAAATGCATAGTTTGCATGCAGCACTGTCCATTGAGAATGATTAGGTACTCTAATTTTAGTGAATGTTGTAAACATTTATTAATTATACAACATATGAATTGCTATTAAGTGTTCAAAACACCAAAGTACGACTGTTGTTATTGAAATATGTTGATTTTCATATATGTGCCTGTATTTGTTAATGTCTCTTAGTACGAATTATTAAATAGCTTTTTGATAAAATCTGTTAGTAGTCATTATGGTGCCTAATGAATTAATTAAGACTTTATGTGGTTATTTTTACTTTATTTTAGAAAGACATTTTCTGATAGCTGTTATTTCATTTGATTTCAAGTGGCTGCTCATACCAGTTGTCATTGTAGATTGATTTAACTTGCTCTTATACTTTTTTACCTTTGATATGCCAAGAACTTCAGTTGGTTGTGTGGAAATACAAGCCTTTGTGTGAAGGAGTAGATAATTGCATCAGAACCTGGCACCCACATGAATCTTACGAAAACAGACTGTTTTTTCCCTAGAGAAACTATTCTATAAGCTTTGTTTTTATATTCTGTTCTGTGGTAGATTAAGTGATTTAGTTTAGTTTGGCCTAGGGCAAAACGTTTCAGGATATTTTAGAAAATCCTATATCTGATTAGCTCTCTGAAAATAATACTAGTTTTAAAGTTTTGCTTTTTAAAAATTTATCAGTAGACTATGCAATGCCATTTCTGTTATCAAAGTGTCATTTGTAACTGGCACTGAAAACAATCGCAGTGTTCCAAGTGGTATACTGTTTTGCCCTCAAAGTTTTAAAAATGTGAGAGTCATTTATTTTAAACAAAATATTTATTTCTTAATTTGACGTCCTTCTATGACCTTCAGTGATGAGGAGTAATTTATCTTTTTTGATAGTAATTTCTTGATTACTAAAGCATATAACACAGGGGAACTATGTGAGACATACAATAGTCATAGAAAAAGTTACTTTTATTATAAACTTATAAACCTTAAAATCCTGAACACTACTTTTGTAACTCTTAGGAAACTCATTTATTTTAAACTTTTCAAAAAAAAATTCCTACCATATAGTTTAATTTTAACTTTTCACTCTACTTAAACCAAGCAAGCAAGTAAACAACCATAATAAAGTATAATTATAAAAGATTAATTAGGCAATAATTCAAAGTTTCAAGGGAGTCGTAAAAATTATGTCCCTTATTCATTTTAGGTCTCTCAGGTGTAATAGTTACAAATAGTTTCAACAAATAATTTCCAGTTCAATTCAAAGGTTATTAATAAATATTAAGTTAAAAATAATACATGCACGTGTTTAAAAAATCAAATTATACAGATACATATAAAATGAAATAAAATACTTCCTTCTCTCATTCCTCAATATCCCCACCTTAACTCTTAGGTCCTTTTTTTAGAGTAACCACTGGTAATAATTTCCTGTGTATTTGCTACACCTATTCAAGCATGTATGCATATGTAAGTATAATTTTACATTTCTCTCTATTTTATTGTAGTTATGTTTTGTACCTGCATTGTTTTGGCTAAAGACATATTTTGGGTAGGAAATGTATATGTCTTATTCATCATTTTATATCTATCTCCTAGAATAATGTCTGACACGTAATATATAAGTGCTTAACAAATGTTTGTTGAAAGAATCTTCCACACATAGTACATGTATGCGTTTATATGGTACAAACTTTATAGATTTGTTTTATGATTATACCACATTTTATATTGCCAGTTTTCTGTTAATGAACATTTATGTTAGGTCTGTTTTCTGCTAGTCATTGATCCATCCATCCATCCATCCATCCATCCACCTGTCTGTTCATCAAATATATACTGAGTACTTAACTGTATGCCAAACACCTTCTAAGAAAACAGATGAAGGAATAAATCCTGGGCTCTGCTTGCATGTAACTGACATATACATAGTTGATTGAGATATATCAAAAATGATGAAATAAAACCTAACCAAATTAGTTTCATGAAGGCAGTAGCATAGATAATATGAGCGAGGAGTTTCTACTTTAGGAGGATGGCCAGGCAAATGAAAGAAAGACAGACAGACTAAATGATGCGAAAAATAGTTGAGAGAGCCAGAGAAAAGAATTCTAGGCAGAGGAACTAGTAAGTATAAAAACTCTGAGGCAAGAATAAGCTTGGTAACTTCAAGAAACAGAAAGAAATCCAATATGACTAGAGCATATTTTCTCTTACAAATAAATACGGCTTCAGTGCATGTCTTTATACATAAAAATATATTTTACATATTTTTCTAAATACTTTTGTAGTAAAACTGAGGGATTAAATAGTATATGTATTTTACATTATGATAGCTATGGAATGGGACCTCTTTTATCCCTTATCCTTTCTCCTTAAACCTCTTCTAGCTTTCTCTGGCTCTGAAGAACTTGGGTTGTCTAGAGCTTGGTAGGGAATGGGCTGTGACATGAGGCACAGTGAGTGAAAGAAATTCTTTTTGGAAGAGAATGTGCTGGGAACTGTGAATGTTTGAGAGACTTTTGTCTAATAAGATGAAAATCCAGTAGTGGAACATATGCATATATTGTGTATGTTGAGTTATGTGATAAAATATTTGGCTCTCAGAAATACAGTGCTCTCCTTTTGCCTTTTAATGAAATCATTTCAATGCAGAAATTATCTCTACTTTCACAACTAGCAAATAGAAAATTCAGAGTTTTTTTAGTTATTACTGGATACGAGGCAGTATTACAAACGAGTCCTAGTTTGACACTATTGGATTCAATTTATAAAAATTTGTGATTATAAAGATGTGTTATGAAAAAAATGCCATTAACCGAAGTCAGTCAAAAACCTTTGCTATAATATGGCTTTTGTGGAAGAAGGCAAGAAGGGCATCTCCTATTTAAAATAAGTTTTTAAAAATCCTGGGTATTGTTACATTGGTGAATCCCATTTTTAAATAAAATGGCTCTCTATCAAAAAGGCATTTTTTTTTTTTTTAAGATTTTATTTATTTATTTGACAGAGAGAGACACAGCAAGAGAGGGAACACAAGCAGGGGGAGTGGGAGAGGGAGAGGGAGAAGCAGGCTTCCCGCAGAGCAGGGAGCCTGATGCTGGGCTCGATCCCAGGACCCTGGGATCATGACCTGAGACGAAGGCAGACACTTAACGACTGAGCCACCCAGGTGCCCCAAAAAGGCATTGTTTTAATTTTAAAGGAGAAATGTCAAAATCACTTAAAATTTTTTAGGCAGATTAGAAATTTTAGACTGGTCAAAGAACACATTTTGTTTCATGAGGTGTTTTACTGCTGAGTAAACAGAGTCAAGTCACATTTGAGATCATAGAGATGTTTGTTTAAATTTTTTCAACCTTCATTTTTTTTCATAGGGTGAAGGTAGGAAATTTTGGCCGATACATTCAGATTCCCATGTACCTAGAGAGAGAAGGGGGTATGAGGTTTCCTTAATTATTATTTATTTTTCCTTTTTTCTATGTAATAAGACCATTTCCTTTGAAAATTAAAAACAACTTGAAGGAATGAGGTTGGGAATCTGTGATGGAGAAGATCTTAATTTAACAGATGCTAATGTGGTATGTTCTGTCTATTATATTAAAGATTTTTTTTATCTTTTTTTAACCTAGGTAATTTTTTCCAGCACAACTTATAAACAACCTTTAGTTGGAAATCGATTTTATTTTGCTATCTGAACCTGGTATACATTAGTAATAATAAAGCAATTAACATATTTTGTCTGTGGTATAAGTTAGTATTTTGATCAATAGGAGGCTAATTTAACTGGTGTCTACTGTAAAATCCTCCAGCTAGTTTTAACATGAATATATAATTTTTAATTAAAACAAGTTCTTGATACCAAATCTTTTAAGGTGAGTGTAAGGAAAGGAATTAGTATTTTATTAGTCTTATCTTTTGTCCTAAAATGATTGAGTATAAAATATGTTACATTTTTACAGAAATCTTCTATTCCTTTTATGACATGTAGATATATAAGTTGTAATTATTTGAATCATTAGAACATCTAATTTTTGCTTGACAGTATGCAAATGTGCCATTAAATCTGTTTTTTAAGATTTTTCCAGTTTAATGTCTGAATCCAAATTCATAAAGAGTTGGAAAAATGAGATGTCTGAGCTATAGGATTCACAGGGATTTCATATGAAGCCTATTTAATCAGGATAACACTGTTATTAATATTCATAATGTCAGCTGGAACACAAATGACAGACTATGGGGCCTAAAAATTTTACTTGGTGAATTTATTAAAAGTAGCTTAAAAAATTAATGGAATTTAACTAAAGTTGGTGAATATGAAAATCTTGTGTTAGCAGAAAAAAATCTCTATTAGAACTTTCTTTAAGACCATTTTGCATTGATGTCTTTTGACAGATTTCATTGGTACTTAAAGAAGAAAGATGCATGAATGGTCATTTAAGAGGATTTAAACACATTGGCACATTAATTTTTACATGAATAATAAGTACTTTCCAAAAGCAATTAACTTACAGTGTACAAGATATGAATTGAAAAATAAGACTGTGACATCAAGGGCAAAGCAAATGTGCTGTACATTTTAAACTTAGTGGCAGGACTTTTTAATATTTTGGTTTATTTTATTTTTATAGTTTAGATAGGATGTGACTTAGAATATGGTCATTTTAATACATTTGAAAGCATATTAGAAGAGCAATAATGCTTCCTCCCTCCACAAAAATATCAGTAGTATTAAACATTATCCTCTGCAGGTATTGTTTGCATTTATTGGAGAATTAAGCATTTGTTGTGCTGTTGGTAATATCTGAGAATATATTCAATTTTATAGACAGTCAAAAGGATGATTCTGATTGGATTTCGTGATTCAAATACTTATGTCTTAACATAGATTTGTTGATTATAGCATAACTTAAATGTATAATAAATAAGCTTCATAAAGTTTAGTGTAAGAAGTTTTGTTAAGGTCCATTGGAGTAGTGTACGAGTCAATTTGTTCTGAATTTTAGCCTAAGGAAGTAAAAAGTTGGGAATGGTGTTAAGTAAAACCAGAATGCATTTTATTTTGTGTACCACCTGTTACTCTTTATGTTTTCAAATATGCTTATAATGACATTATACCAGCGCTCTATTTTTTATTATTAACGTTCATTAAAAACAATTAATTTTAGACCATTATGTATAATTAGAATAACACAGTATTTTGTTTCACATTTTTCAGAGATTATTTTTCATGAAAATTTTCATAATTATGAACAGCATAGTTGATTTGTTATCTGTAACAGTCCACTTAGGGTTTACCAAAGAGAGTATAGGCATTGGCCTGGCAGTCCAGACGGGTACTAGAAGTTTCACTTGTAGCCTGTCAGTGTTATATGTGAGTGATTTTGTTTCATTAGACACAATAGATACTGCCTGGTATGTTTTGGGACTCATATTCAGAGTTTGATTAGAAAAAGCATTAATAACCAGGTGTGTAGAAATGATCACAGTATAAGCTATATGTTAATTTTTCTGTATAAGGTATGAAATCAAATTGATATATTGGTTATTATTATATTTTCTAGTAACTTTTTAAAAGTTAGATTTTGGGGAAGTGGTTTTTGTTTTGTTTTTTGGCTCTGAGATATTCACTTACATGCCCAGGAGAGGGCAGCATTTTACTATATCAGGCTCCTAAAAGAATTAGCCCTGCTTAGACTGTCAATGTTTCTTGTAATTACTCCCAGTATATTTGTTGCTTGCTTATGAATTAACTTGCATTTATGGAACTAAATCATTTCAATCATTTAATTACACCTGAGGAGCTGAACTATAATTGCTTGCTTCCAACTAGGATCTGATATGGCTTGAGCAGTATTAATTTGGTGTTTACTTTTCTGAGTGCTAAAAGCATTAAAATGATTGTGCAATGGGATTACATTTTACTAATTGCTGGCATTCATTAGCTGGGTAAATGATGAGGAAGAGTGACTGTATATTGCAGAGGGATAAAATTATGGTTTTAAATAGTATATTACTAAGCACATTAAGGCCTGTAAGACATGTTTTAAAATACTCCAGAGGTTATTAAAGACTGTATTTTCTACATGTCTTGCTATATGAATCTCTTATTAAAAGACTGCAATTATTATTAACCTTTTTGGGCAATATGTAGGGAAATGGCTTCATTGACTGGGACATATTTCTTTGATATTAATAACTTCCTATATTTTCAGCTAATCCAAAAGTAAATGAGGAACTTAGAAAAAGATTGCCAACTCCAGATCAACATATTTAGAGAAAATTGGAAAAGGAGAAGCTTACTACAGCTTTATTTGAGGACTTTTTAAAAGAACACAGAGTTCTAGCTGTGAGGTAAATCAAATTTTATTCTCCTTAAAAAGCATACCAAGAAAAAAAAAAACCGTTGCATAGGTTTTGTCATGTTTATTATGAAAACAAATGGAAGACAAATATCAATAATTCCATAAGTTAGTAATAGTCATTATGTTTTTTTAAAAATTTGAATAGTATTTTTTTAAATTATTTTTACAAGTATAAAATGTTTTATATGAAAATATACATTGTAAATTCAAATCAATAAATTTGAAATTTTTGGTATTAAGTTTATGACATAGAATATAAATTTTATTTTTCTTAAATTGTTGGAGTTAGAAAAAACTTAAGTTGAATAAAATAAATAGTTCTCTAACCTAAGGAGCAAGAATGTCTAGAAGCTTAACCTGAACTGTATTTACTAAAATGTAAGTGTGAAAGAAAGAATCTTTCTCTGAGTAAAAAGATTTAATTTCACCTGTTGAAATATACAGTTAATAGTCCCATTATAAATGTTTTAGAAAACCATTTATCCTGTAAATTCTCTGTTAAACAAAGGTAAGGTTTAGGTGTGTTCTGATATATTGTTTTAAGTTTATTTATCTAGAGTTGGCTTTATTTTAGCTTCAAATCTTGGAGCAAAAACCAGAGACATTGCCAGAGCAAACAAGAACAGAAGTACAAATGGAGGACTGGTCAAAAGGTAAGGACTTTCAAGGTATTAATACCAAACCCCAGGTGTTGTGCTAGTTCAAGGCACTGAATGAAGTGTGTTTGTTCTAACCAATATATTAGATGGAGTCAGACAAGCGCACACACACACATACAAAGAAGGAGGCACACACAAAGAGACACAAAGAAACACACAGAAAGAGAAACACACAGAGGAAGAGATACTGAGAGAGAAGGGGAAACAGAGATGCAGGAAGAGAAAGAAACACACACACACACACACACACACAAAGTGATCGAGAGAGGAGATTGAGAGAATTACTGGGAGAGAGATGCATACAGAGGGCCACACTCAGAGAAAGAAACACAAAGACACGGACACAGGGAGGGAGAAACGAAAGTCATAGAGGGAGGCACAGACACACATTGGATACACACACACTGGAGATGCACAGAGGAAGATAGCAGAGTAAAAGAACAGTAGAAAGAGACAGAGAGAGACATACAGTGAGAGAGACAGGGAAAAACATACATACACACACACAGGAAAAAGAAGATAAATATACACAGAGAGAGACACACATACGTGGAGAGAGACAGATGCACTCGGAGAAACAGACCAAGACACATTCGGATACAGAGACATATGTGGAGACAGGTGCACACCAAAAGATGCACTCAGAAAGAGACACCCACAGAGAGATGGAGTCAGAGGGGGCCAGAGGTAGAGCGACAGAGGCATACAGAGATGTACAGAAGGAGACAGAGAAAGACACTCTCAGATAGAGACAGAGAGAGACATGAAGACAGAATCCCAGCCAAGGAGAGAGAGAAAAAAGATGCACGGGCAAAGGGAGAGAACAGCCAGAGATGGAAACACAGTTTAAAAGACACAGACTGAGAGATGGCCTGAAAAGCAGAGGGAGGCAATGGATAGATAGATAGACAGACAGACACATGTAGGTGGGCAGGCAGGTAGGGCACTTCTATCTCCCTATAGAGCAAGATACAGAGAGCCATAAAGAGAGAGGTTTAAAAAATGTTAGGTTGTTTTAATTGAGGTCTCTTATAGTAAAATGTTGCAAATTTGGAATCCCTAGGAAGCTAATCATTCTGAATATAGTGTTGCATATAATTGAAGGCTTAAATCTCTATGTACATTGTTTTTATTTCCTCTAAATTTTATATTTAAAAATTAGATTATTACCGAAATATTCCACACATCTCTCCCTTTTTTGATTTCCCCCTCCCCCAACAGGGTTCTTCTTCCACCATATATCAACCACATGGTTACCTTTCTCAGAAGGTTAAAGGCCATTTTGGGGTACTATTCTATCATGATTTTATTAAATAAGTTAATAGTTACAGATTCTTTTGAATTATAGGAAGATGCTCTGCTTTCTGAGTATCCTTTTTTTCCGATTTCTGCATTTGGTTTTGATTTCCATACTGTTAGAAATTTTTTTTTGCAGTTTCTGCCTACCATTAGCAAGCTTTCTCTTCTACTTTGTGATTCTAGGCTACTTGTTATGAGTTTAGAATACAGGTAACTGATTGAATTACGTACAAAGTAATAGCAAGTAATATCTGAGTAAGGTAGTTTATACGTATTTAATTCAAAGTTTATGGTTTTAGTGAATGGGCTTTATGACACTTAATTTCCGTCTGCTTTCTTTATATTCAAGTTTGTACTGGTGTGAAGCTGGGAACTAATTTTTTGTAGCTGTTTTTATTCATTTATGCAAATAAACATTCTTCTTTTCAAGGGCTCAAAGCAGTTTTACTCAATTTATGTACAATAATAAGAAAAGAGGAAGTAAATAATGATGCCCCTGTTATTTATGTTCCCTATTCAGAGGTCACATTGCTATGGAAGTCATGTTGTTCAAATTATAGACAAAAGGATCTCTGCGGAACCAAAGGAATTATTTTTAATATATCTAAAGCTACAGGCTGTGGAGGAAATACTTCTCATAAGTATGGAATAACCAGGAAAGAAGTTAAGGAAGGGAGCTGCTGAAGCTCTAGGACACTTACAGAAAGGAAGGTTTTAGGGCTAAAGACATAGATGCATAAATAGTTTGCAGAAGGCACAGACTACAATAGACGTGACTGAAACATCATTAAGAAAATTTGCATTTTTACAGACTTTTTTTGTTTTACATCAGAAATAGGAATAAGATATTCCTTTATATAAAGGGCCTGTTAATGAAACATTGAGAAATAAAATTAAATAGGTAAATGTATCTTTTGAGTTTTGTTATATAATTGATATGTTTAAAATCTCACATGGTCATTGCCTTGACATCAAGGTTTGCAGGATTTATCTTAAAACACAAATTGCTTCAAAGCTCTGTCTTAAACTAATATTCACAGTCTGCTTGGAAAATTAGTTATTTTAATTAATATTATTTTACTTACTTTTTTTAAAGAAATGGAGCTAAATAAAAACTTGTATTATGCAGACAGGCCTTTGTGTCACCTTACACATTTTATTATAAGGAGTGCTAAAATGGCTCTTCTTTTCCTAGCTTTATTGTAGAAACATTGCTGAAATATTTGAAGTCCGAGTTGATGAGGTATATAATGTGAACAGATAAAACCATTTACTTTTTTTTTTTTTTGTCATTATTGACAGTTTAGAAAATGTAAAGCTGTGATTGGTAGGTAGGATGGGTGAGGGCATCTACAAAACGTGGCCAGGTTTCTTGAAGAGTTGTTTTTACTCTAAGTGGAGGACATTTGAAGTTGTTGGAAGCAGTATGTGAGTGAATCAACATGTGTTGCCAAGTGAGCATTGGTAACATCTTCTGGTTTCTTAAGAAGTAAATGATGTTTTTTTACCCTTTTGTGAAAACTTTGTCAGGGTTTTTCTGGTTTCTGCCTTTTCAGAAAAAAGAAATGAAACGTTATAATCAAAGGATGTATGTAAAGTTAGCCCCCCAGAGTGAGTTGTTATGTGATTGGTTGTTGAGCCCTTCTAAGCATTTACTTATTTATTTACTTAACTATGTAAGAAAAAAGGCATGAGGATCATAAGTCTCTGTAATTGTTTGGAATAGTATGATAATTTCTGGATATCTCTTACTAAATTTTGGTGATTTTTATTAAACTAGCAGACACATGGTTTAGTTGTTTATTTATAGTGCACAGCAGTCCACTGAAAATACCTTACATATTTATAAACAAACATGTCTGCCACAAGTATACATATCTACGATAATATGGGGAAAAATGACGTCCGGACGCCATTTAAATTTAGAATATGGCGAAACTTATTTAAATTTAGAACCTTTAGGGGTCAGTGTTCCCTAAGAAAGGTTAAAAAAGGTTACTGTGCCTACCCAAATTAAATATTAAGTCTACTGTATTTTAAATATTTCTTACCAAATGAAGGCAAGAAATGGTAAGAATCATATAGCTTGAAGAAGCTTCAGACAAAAACCTTTGAATTTTATGAGTGATTATGATATATGATTTTTAGGTTTACTATTTTAGGGAATTGTATTTAATATGTAGTTTTAACATAGTTATTTTTACTTATATATATTATTTCAATTTAGATATGAATCGTGTGTTTTTAAACTATTTTCTTTTAAGCTTACAAAGCAAACATGATTCTAAATCTGTACTCATTTAAAACTTGAAATGAAAAACCAGTGCTAGAAGTGCGAGTCCTTTCTTATTGTAGTTTACTGGAGGCTAGCAAATATTTTAAAAATCTTAACTTACTGAATTTAAGTAAAAAACAACTGTCTTCTTTACTTTAGAATTAGACTAACAATTATCTTTTATAACCATGATTCTGATTGTTTTTCTACTAAGCAAAATAAATAACTAAAACCCAGCAAAAGGTAACTTGTCAGTGATTTGTTAGTTTCTTATTGAGTCAGAATACTGTTTATTTTTGCTTGGCATTTGGAACCTCTGTGCCACCATCAGCCTCTTTTATTATTGGTTCATCTATCTTTCTGTCTTTTCACAAAGTATGTATTCTTTTTACCTTTTGTCCATCTGTTATTCTGTAATTGAATTATATCTAAAACTATTGCATGGTTTGCAAGCATTTTATAAGGGGAGACATCTTTAGAAATGCTATAGAAAAACATCTACCATGCTTTTAAATGTCTGATCATTGTGACTAAAATATGAGTGTAGAATCTCATGTCATTTTCAAAAACTTCTTTTTAAAGCAGAGAAGAAGGAAATGAATGGTGAGTTGCACAGAATGGCCATCCATTTCTACCAGCAAGATAGCTGGTAGAAAAAAGAGATTCCTAGGCATTATGATTAGACCCTGCTTGAAATTCAGCATTTTGAAATCTAGATAATTAATCATTCCCTGCTAAATTACAGGATTTGAATTATATTTAATAATTGGCTTTCTATTAAGTAATGATATATTTTCCTTAAAAAGTATTGCAATATGTTTTTGTTTGTTTCATAGCAGAAGGTGAATTTTAGTGGAGAACCAGTGCATTTAATAATTTCAATACATTGTTAAAGTAGAAAGAACACAGGTTTTGGAGCTAGATAGACCTGTGTTTCGGGTTTTTAATCTTCCACTTACTACCTACCTGGCCTTGGGCAAAAATTTCATAATTTTAAGCCTGAGTTGTCTTATGTATGAACTAGGGAGATAATTCCTTTAGGACTGTTTTGGAGTTTAGGGATTGTGTATGAAAAGCCCACTATAACACCTGGAAAAGGAGATGAGTTTATATAATCTGTATTTCATGTACCAGAATAATTCTTCTCACTAGTGTGGTGGTGATAATGGTTTTTTACAGATTTTTTTTAAAAAAAAGAGGAAAGAAAAGATTGTTAACATATTTTACAGGACCTAAATAAATGGTAGTGGTGGTTGTCATTTCTGTTCTACCCAGCTGTGAAAGATAGGTCTATAGAAGAGTTTCAAAACTATTAAGAAACAGAAACAACAGTATTTGAAATGGTTATTATTAGTTTTATAAAAATATTCTTTTCAAATACAATGTTCACAATACCATTAGAAACTTGATTTTTTTCAAT